CTCAAGGGCGAGTTTTCTCTTTAGCCATGAGTGTCAGTGACTTCCTTGGTGTCTGCAGGATAGTGTTTTTGGGGAGTGTATTTATATTACAAAAAAGCCCAAAATTTGCTCTGGGCCTTTGTTAGCACTGGAGCATTGGATCCTGGGATGGACTCACATGGCCATTTATAGTAAGCCCTGTTTCTCCCAGAATGGTGACAAGTGACCACTCTTGCCCGATCATCTTTCCTTTTCTTCTTCATTCTGTAGGAACAACTCCCAGCCATACCACCTTTTCAATGCATGCTCTGATAATTGACCACTACATACAAGGAGCGTATTACCCCCGAGGAGGATCCAGTGAGATTGCCTTCCATACCATCCCATTGATTCAGCGTGCCGGGGGCGCTGTCCTCACCAGGGCCACCGTGAAGGGTGTGCTGCTGGACTCTGCTGGGAGAGCCTGTGGTAAGAGACCTGCACTGAGCTGAAGGGTCACTGGGCTGGGGTGAAGGTCTTGATGTGTCTTTATAGTTCAACCAGCCTGTACATTCAGGGTAACAGCCTGGCGTCTAGGCTGATGAGACAGCTCAGTAGATAAATATTCCAGCCAATACGCCTGATGACCTCAGTTTGATTCCACAGCCTACATGTTGGAAGGAGAGAGTTGACCCTGTAAGTTGTCCTCTGAGCTCCTCATGTGGGCTGCAGCACCCTGACCACCACACAGAACAAAGGCAAAAATGCAGTTGTTACAACAGGTCAGGATTGACATTTGTGAGACTTGCCAGAGATGAGGTTGGACACAGAGGCTACAGCAGACCACAGAAACTCTTGTGATTCATGAAGCTGAGTGATGGGAGCACTGTGGACGTAGAACTTGGCAGCAGTGAGGGAGGCCCGGGACTCCAGAGAACCAGTGTTCTTTGGATGGGAGAACTTGTCTAAAGGTAAGCAAGACCATATGGGTGGGTGAAAAGAGCTAGAGACAGACATGACAGAAACATTTGAGGTATGGGCTGAGTGTGGATGCCTGGGGCCCTGGGGCCTTTTTTCCTTAGAGGAACTTCTAAGTTTGAGAATGGAGGGCCTAGGAGCATGGCTATGGACAGATGTAATATTTTGCGGTGGGGTCTTAAGTTGTCCGGGTTAGTCCTCAATTTGCTATATAGCGGAGGCTGTTCTTTTTTTTTTTATTTATTATATATACAATATTCTGTCTGTGTGTATGATTGCAGGCCAGAAGAGGGCGCCAGACCTCTTTACAGACGGTTGTGAGCCACCATGTGGTTGCTGGGAATTGAACTCAGGACCTTTGGAAGAGCAGGCAATGCTCTTAACCTCTGAGCCATCTCTCCAGCCCCCCTA